GGCATGGCGCGCGTGCTTTGAGACGGCAGGCAAGTGGCTCGCACCTCGCAGGCGCAGCTTCCACATGCTCCCCGACTCACAGCCAGATCTCCAGGCATGGGCCGCCGACCGGGCACTCGAGGGGGGGGGGGTCTGTCTGCTGAGCAGGTCGAGCAGGAACAATTCATCGCGCAGGCCGCGGAGCAGGACTACCCGTTCTACCCTTTGATGGAGCGCTGGGAGGAGGCCAACCTCGACCTGAACAGGCTGGTGGAGAAGTTCTCGAGAGGCCACCGCCGCCGCGCCTCCCCACGCTGGTTTATGCAGACGGAGATTTGGCGCTTGTTTTTGTCACGCAGAGCCCAGCGTCGTGATCGAGGAGAGCGGGCACCTGTCATAGGCCCTGTACTCCAAGGGTTTCTGTTGGCGCAGCTGGCAGGAGTTAGGCAACGCAATCGATTCAATGCGCGGTCGCATCTACTATACAAAACATATCAGGTCAGCAAGATGAATCACAAAGCTCGCACGCGAGGGGCACGTCTTCCACATGGGCTACGCAGCTTCGGCGTGGCATGCGTGGGCACTCGACCGCTACGCGACGATCTTGACATACCACATGGGGACCACGGCTACGTGAAGGGTTGCTCCAGGGCGGGGGCGATCGCCGTGGGCAACGCGCTGCAGTGGCGCCTTTCTGCCGCGAGGGTTAGCCACATCACCGCCAAGCACGACATGGCGAACGCGTTCGCCAGCGTCTGCCACGAGCGCCGCGATAGGACGGCATGCCAGATGCATCAGCCAGAGGACGCGCAGATCATGCTCATCCGACATCGTCGTACAGCCTGTTTCGCGAACGCCCGCGACGGGGGCGGCACCCTTGTCAAAGTCGCGGGCGGCTTCATGGGCGATTCCGACGCGGCCTCCAAGTGCAGGGTCGCGTTCGAGCAGCCGACGCAGGAGTGGCGGCGCCCCCTTTTACCTTCGACTGGCGTGCACGCATTGACGGCGGGATGCCCCATCACAAGAAAAGTTTGTAACCTGGGCGTTCGGAAGTACGCGGGCGACTTGATTTGCGCGCGCGTGGCCCCAGACGCACGCAGCGCGGCCGCGGAGGCTGGGACTTCGGATCGCAACTTGGACGAGGCCCCCAGCCGCATCGGGCCGGCTCAGAGTCAAGAGACAAAAAATTGAGTCCTTGTTTCGCGGGGAGATGTTCGCAGAGATCCACGGGGGCGTTCCGCTACCATTGGGCCCCCATCGCATGTCTCCTCCTCTGCCTCCTCCTCCTCTTCCTCCTCCTCCTCCTCCTCCTCCTCCTCCTCCTCTTCCTCCTCCTCCTCCTCCTCCTCCTCCTCCTCCTCCTCCT